ATCCTATACGCCGCTATTGTGATAAGACCCGATATCGCGTTCGCCTGCTCGAAGCTTTCCTAATATAACGTTAACCCCTCCTCTAACCACCTTAAAAGGGATTAATAAGTGCTACTATTCCTATACCACATAAGATACTATTACTTAGAATTCGGTGGGGATAGACTCTTCCTGATAGTAAGCGATGTGTCCTTTAGGGATAATCCAGACCGTAAGAGCTTATAAGGATATACGATAAAGCTTTTCGGTGGCACCGTTAACTAGAAGGCAGGCAAATAACCAACGGTTATAATATCGTTAATAGAGTCGAAACTACTCGCTCTTACCGAGGTAGCTAAGGAGACGCTATTCGTTAGCCGGATATTAAGGGATTTAGAGCTTCGGCTGGACTAATAACAGCTATAGCTATATTACGATAATTAATAGACTATTAACCTCGTTAATAAGAAGGTATAACGCCTACGAATAATGCTACGGCACGTCGATATTTATAACTAGTAAGCGCGTTAGTTAGTATAGTAGGGCCTCTTTAAGGTTACGTACGTTAACACGAAGGAGATAATCGCGGACGGTTTAACGAAGGCACTACCGGAGGCAGGAATTAAAAGACTATAGTAATAGCTTAATTTAACGGATTAAAAGGACTATATCGAGTAGTCTAAACGACTATAAGAAGAGATTAAACGCGCTAAAGCCACGGCGGTAGTAACGATAAAGGCCCCTGAGGGCGTAGCAGATCCGAGGGATATAGATCCGATTAAGCAGATCCGGCTAATTAGGATTAAGGAACTAATTAAGATAGAATTGAATTAAACGGTTAAATAGGGCGGATTTAGATCCTTTTTATAAGGGCGTTTTCCCCTAACTATTAATTTTACGACAGAAAAGTTAAGAGCGTTTAGTTTAAATCGAAGCCTTTAATTAGTTAGTGAACCTAGGAAGACCCACCTTAACTAAGGGGGTGTATCGTATAGGCAGGACCACGATATAGTCTATAGGGGATCTAGGGGGGATCCACTCTATAACTAAGGGCTCCGGATATTAGGGACTTCGGGTATCAGGATATAATAAGGGTGGATACCGGAAAAGACCGGATAGGATCTAAATGATATAGTACCCATAACGGAGTCTTCACCACCTAAATTAAGGGTATAAGAGACTCTCCTAGATATAACTTAACACAATACACACACACGAGATTTCTGCTCTACTAAGTTAATCATTCAAGTGCCTATTTGACGTGCGACAACAACACCCATACAACATTTATCCCGAAATTTTTGCTGACCCACTATACATGTCATAGACCCGCCTTTCGGTCAGAGCGTTGTGTCCTCGTTGTTTGGCCCCGGTCGTATTTACTCACTACTTTTCATGTGTAAGACTTGATGACTAGATACCCCTCTTCACATCCTCCTTTTAGTAGCCATATGGCCAGTAATCCAGTGCTCTATCTAAGAAACGTTTATACCTCTGTAGGTGCAGAGTGACGACCTACCGCCCTACACATGGCTGACCTCGGAAGCATTATCGTTAACAGCTCAGCCATATCCGGGTTCCGTCGACGACTTCCAGCAGTGAGTGCAATCCCATTCACTCCTTACCTTCGTGATCACTCAACCAACGAATGGTCGTACAGCTGTCTAAATATTGGCCGGCCGCGCTCATCCTAACCGGCTCTGAACAACCTTTCCGTCTCGCACACATATTCGAACTAGGTGTCATGGGCCTCGCTTACAATACCTACCTGGACAGCGCCAAAATTTATGGCTGCAAGACATGCAAGGCACACCTCGCGAATCACGAGGACATCGTTAGTCGGGTATGTGCAAACATGGCACGAAGCAACCTGTCCCCTTTCTTCGGCCGCCTTTCCACTGCAAAGGAAGTCGATCGTAGTAGAAGTCTATTCCAGCTGTGTCTGTGCTAAGAGTTTTCCTTCTCCCCGAAGCAGAACTTTCGCGGCCAACACGGTAAGGCATACCTTTTCAACAGCGTTGTGAATATCGACACGGGTGAACCCAGCGAGCGTAACATGACGACCGGACGCCATGTAGTTCGCGACATCACTTGCAGGCAGTGCAAGGAGACTGTGGGGTGGAAGTATGACAAAGCGTACGAGGCGACTGAGAAGTACAAGGAGGGTAAATTCATATTGGAAGCAGAGCTGCTCTGCAATGTTACATGACAGAACTGTTACCCCCAAGGGTGTGACTGATCAACTATTATTACCTTGCAGTTTTTGGGACAACCTGTAGTCTGCGACATTTTGTCCCCGAGACAAATAAAGTCCTCTTCGAATGTTTCAACTCACGCGACCAACACTGAAGCTCATCCAATACAGCTCCGCGGCGCATATATCGCATGGGCAGGACCACGATATAGTCTATAGGGGATCCAGGGGGGATCCACTCTATAACTAAGGGCTCCGGATATCAGGGACTTTAGGCATCAGGATATAATAAGGGTGGATACCGGAAAAGACCAGATAGGATCTAAATGATATAGTACCTATAACGGAGTCTTTACCACCTAAATTAAGGGCATAAGAGACTCTCCTAGATATAACTTAACATAATACATATACACGAGATTTCTGCTCTACTAAGTTAATTATTTAAGTGCCTATTTAACGTGCGATAGTTATAAGCCAGGTTTATAACGCCTAAACGATAGATATTAATAAGGCTACCCCTATTCTATTATAAAGAAGTAATCACGTCTATATAAGCACTCTTAAATAACTACTATCGACCTAATTAGAGTAATTAAAAGACTAATTAACTTACTTATTAATTAACTAACCGATAAACGATAATCTAGTAAGGATATCTTCTAACGTATCTAATGCTGAATAGAAGGCGGCCGTTATTACCCTTGTTAACTAAAGGGATTAGGTAGTTTAGGAGCGCGCTGTACGCGGTAAATCGGCCTCCTACTAGGATAACTACCTTAATCTAAAGCTAAGCGATAAGGAGGCTAATGCCTATCTCCTCCTTATACCTATACCCCCTAATATTCGTAAATACGAAGCCCTCGCCGCGGACCCTAACGCGGAGGAGGCCACGGCCACCACCGTCACGGCTACTCTGTCTTCTACTATCACGCTAAAAGGCGACGAGGCTATAGATACTACGGACGCCGCCGCTATGGCCGCTACCACGGCGGCCACGGCCGCCGGTAAAAGGAAGACGGCCGCTCGCCGGAAGGCTATAGCTATAACGAAAGAACTAACGACTAAGACGCCTACGTCTATTAACAACCTCTCTACAAAGGGGCGCACGCGCTACCTATAAGATCGCCGTATATACCGCGAGGAGAAGGTAGACTACGACGCGTAGTAGAAGGAGTTTAACGAGGCACGCTCCTATATCGAAAGGACTATATATACCACGTTATATAACCTCCTTGCCTAGCTATAGGACGATACCGTAAATAACCCGCGGGCCTGGATTACTCTCCTATACGCGCACGCAGGACCGATACCTATAGACCTCCGTAAGAAAGCCCTAGTCCTATACCGATAATATACCACGCCTATAAAGGCTATACCTAAGGATATAGACGCCTAGGTGGTAAGCTAGAAAATAGCGATAATACACTATAAATATATAGGCGTTTTAGAGCTATTAAGCGCGGACTATTAGGTAGAAAACGCGTTAAAAGCTATTAGACCTATTACATAGGAATAGAGTAATAACTACCTAGTAAATAACTACGATACGATTACGGAAAACGAGCTAATAATTAATAACTTCGTAAAGGCTCTAAGGGCGGTTTTTAGTAATATAAAGAGTCTATAATCCTCCGCTATAAAGCCTAGAGTTAGGAGAGGCACCTTTAACACCCTTAGGAACCTCCCCGATACTAAGGATACTATTACTACTAATAATAAAGATAATAAAAAGCGTCCTCGTAGCGATACGTCCTTAAAGGCTATCCCTCCTATAATAAGGAGGCCCTACGAGATATACGAAAACACCTATACTACCGCCGTCTATTAGTACGTGAGGCCGGATATACGCCCTTATACCTAGCGTGGCCGTAAAGATATTATAAAGGTCGCGGAAAAGAAGATACGTATTTATAGTTTTAAAAGCCGTGTAGACACCGCGATATAGAAGAGGCGGGAAGTAGTAGCTACTACCGCTAATAAGATAGAGGAAGTTTAGGAAGATTAACTCTATAATACTACGCTTACTATAGTTTATAAAGACCTGTCCGTCACCGCGACAGGGAGACTAAGAGCCCCCCTAACCTAGGGGGTAGCGCGTCGTCGTACGACGATACTATTAAGATTATAATAAGAATAGCGGATATCCCTTTCTATTAACTAAGCCAGAGCGCTATTATACTACGCGATCCTAGACTTAGGATCGTTAATCTATATCCTTAATAATCGAGGCCGTTTTACGGCCGTTAGACTACCCACGGTTAATTTATTAACGCTTTAGGTGGGTACTTGTAAGGCTCCTATCCTCGGATACGGAGATATTAAGCTATGTGTATCATCCCTATCGGGTATAAAGAGGCTATTACGCCTCCGTAACGTTGTATACTATAAGGAATTCGTTACTAATATCGTCTCGGAATACTAGCTACGCCTATAAGGTTACCGCTAGGATACCGTAAATAATACTATCGTTAGCTCCGCTAATAACCGGCCTATCTATAAGCTACTAGATATCCACGGCTAGTATATAATCGAGCGCGCGGAAGCTATAGCCGCTACTACGTTCGCGGTCTCGGTAAGGCACCCCCGCGATAACCCGTATAGAAGATTATAATAACCGCGGTAACCGTAGAAGACTACGGTATAATAGTAGTATAAACGCCTCGGCTATTATAGCACCGATACTCTCGTAAAGATGATTAACGCTACTTAGGGGGTAAAGATAAAGGGACCTTATATAATAGACTATAACGCGTATAGGTAATCGTAAGTGCCTATATAGATCCGGCGGATACTATCCCTTTACCCGTTAAAGCCCGGAGAGGCCCTAGCTATTACTTTTCACGATCTAGAAAAGGCGGAGTAATTAGCGGGCGGACTATATAAGTCTATTAAGTTCGTTATAGACGTGTATATAGGTTATACGTGGGATTACTACCTATAGAAGAGAGACTAAGGCTTTATCCTACACGCTTTAAAGGACGTTTTTACCCTGCTTAAGACTTAATTCGATATTAGGCCACGCGTTCTACGGGCCGATTCTAAGATATTTTAGCACCTAGAAGTCGTTACTTTCCTCGCTGCTTAGGGGGTAAAAGGCTAGCCGTCGGCACTATATTTATAGGATTAGAACGGCGTAGTAGAACGGATTAGAGGTATCGTTAAGAGAAGGGCGAGGGTTATAAGGATTAGAGCTAATCTGTCTATATCTATCTAGCCTAAGATCTTTAAGACTGCTATATATCTATATAATAGAACGCCACGATATATTAACGACTAGAAGACACTATATAAAGGCCTGCGCGGCCGTTAACCTAACCTCACGCACCTATAAGCTTATGGCTATAAAGCCTTTATAAAAACGCGCGATACCTAAGCTACAAGGAACCGCCTATAAAGGCTAGAACCGAAGGTATAGATCGGCTATTACGTCGGATACTAATCCTCGAATAGCTTCCGTATTTAGCTACTACGCCTAACGGATATTATTACCACGAGAGACGTAGTCTTTAACGAAGACGAGATATTTAACGGTAGGATTAAAACGCTATAAGCTATAGCTTCCGCCGAGGAAATCGGGGAACGCCTATAATCTATCCGTATCACCTATACCACGACCGCGAATAGGCTACTATTAAGGGGTATAGCTATAGACGTAGTAGATCTTAAGTCGGAAGACTTTTACGCTACCGCTATTACTATGGATAAAAGTAAGGCCGTCGCTTTTACTATAAGAGAGGCCACTACTATTACTATAGACTATACCGCTATTATTATAGGCACCGCTATTACTATAGATATTACTATTACTATAAGAGAAGACTATACCACCGCTATTACTACGGGTAAAGGCGACGCTACTACTATTACTACGGACGAAGATAAGGCTATCGCTATTACTATAAAAAAGGCTACTACTATTACTATAGACGAGGTTCTAAATCTATAGCCTAATAACTAGGTTATAGATTTAGAACCTCGTAACTCCGACGCTACCGTTATTATTACGAGAAAGGCCACCGCTATTACTATGGACACTTCACGGTTTACTACTACGAGGTTTAAACCGTTTCCCACGCCTGTAATATCCTCTGAAGATCCCGCGCGCGCGTTCCTTATAGCGTTAGCGGTGGTTAGGGGCGCTAAGGTAGAAGAACACGATAACCACTAACGGATAGCTATAGGTGCCCCTAAGGGATGCCCGTCGGCTATACTCCTGTTGGCCGCGCGCCTATTACCCGCGCGCCTATCTACCGCGAGAATTATCGTAAGTCTATACACGACCGAGAAGGTTTAGAACGATAACGCCTAAAAGGCGTTCTTTAACACTAGCAGGACTTATAACCCTATACGTATAAGGAAGTAAACTATTAACGATAACGATATCGGTATTATAGATTCCCCTTATACCTCCTAGCCGCTATCACTATCGTATATAACCCGCGAGGATCTCTCGCCTCTATTAAACTACCACCGCGATATACGCCTTTATCTGTTACGGGAGCGGTGGTTATAGGCCGAGGGGGAACACCTTAAGGGGCACCGATAGATAGGCTACTAGTAGGAGGTAGGTAGTGATTAGGCTAATAAGTAATAAGTCCTCGCCTATAAATAGGTATACACCTATCAATTTAATAAGGAGGGTACCCTCCTTAAGTATAAGGCACGCCTTATAGTCCGAGGGGATTAATAAAAACGGTTAGAGACTAAAGATAACTACGCCGTAACGCTAGCCTCGTAGTCCTTCCGTATACTAATAGCGATCGCCGCCCGATTTAACCTGGAGATAAGGCAGTTCGATACCCTTAACGCGTTCGTTAACGTTAGCCTTAAAGAAAAGCTGTTTATAAAAATACGGTAAGGCTACGAAGTACTAGGTAAGGTCCTACTACTACGGAAAGCCCTTTTCGGTTTAAGGGTATCGCTACTACTATAGTAAGAGAAATCCAGCGGCACGCTATAAAGGATAGGCTTTATAGCCGTCCCTAA